GCTGTATGAGAGTAGCGAAACAAATTACTGCTCCCATTGTCAGATGAGCTGAGTGTTTAAGAACCTAGATTCGGCAAGTATCACCAGAAAACTCAAAATATTTCGCCCAGCGCATACGAAAACAACAAGAACTACAGAGATCTTTATGCCACCAGTTTAGCAGTTCACGCTTTCAAGCTGTTAGGTTGCTCGATAAATGTTTTTATGTTACGACAAAGTGAGTCGACTTCAACTAACCTGAAAAAGAACGTTCTTCAAACCAGCACAAGTAACAAGGGTACACAATTTTACTGTTTATTGGACCCACCTCAGTAGCTGCGTGAAGCGCACTCATGGAAATATTCTTGTCGCTTTACATTGCAGTGGTACAGGTCATCCAAGCCAGATGCGCTCCAGGTAAGTTCTGCTCGATCGGTTAATGCATGGTGCTTGTTTATATCATTGTGTAATCAGACAGGATTGTGTAGAGGATCATTGTTAGATCTCCCTCTCCAATAGACCGCTGAGGTCTTTCTGGGGTTCAAATATCTTTTGCAACTGTGGTCCACATGTAAGGGTTATGCAGCCTTTCACCAGAACTTTGAAGACTGCCAAATAGTGGCATCGAAGTCCTATATCCGCATTTGTGTACCGGAAATTTTTCACCACCCTAATTTCTTATTTTCTCTTTTGTTTGCCTAAGTGAGAAATGGTAGGTGCAATGGTTTGTTAGATAGGTTGGTAGCTTTGAGGTTTGTAATGTTAGCGGGATTGAGCAGTTGGTGACAAAAATGGCACTGAGTCGTCAGTACTTTGTAAATGAGGACGAGGTTAAATATGACCCTCCGCAGATTACAATTGAAGGGATTGAAGGTGCTTTGGGGCCCTCGGTCCAACTTGGTATCGAGGGTTTGTGCATGACACGTCATTTTTTAATTAAGTGTTAACCATGAGCTCTTAGGTAGAACGATATGTTCACAATGCGGTCTTATGTGATCGAAGAAAGCATGTGGGAGTAGCTATCTGTCCAGTGTCCTGAGGATGTGTCGTAGTGCTTGTCCGTCGATCACTGTCACTGAGGATTATTGCCCACGCCATGCTGTACGATCACTCACAAGCCTGTACAGCGGTGCATACAATTGTTTATGCGGTGATTGTAGGTCGAAAAAAGACGAAAAGAGAGTTCGCGGTGCTCCTCAATGTTAAACGGTAAATAATTTGCAGTTGACAGACTGAAAGATTTGTCTAAGTTTGCTTTTTAGCAGTTCGTGGTCGAGGGAGTACGGATAGTTCTCCAGATCTCAAGGTCATTTCCAAACAGTTGACACAGAAATGTTTGTAAGGCAAGTAGATGGTTGGTAAAGTTAAGGAAGAGAAATAACCCGAGTACCGACCATTGTGTCAATCTACCTGAATGGGGTGAAGGGTCAGGCAGCGTTCTACTACTTGAACCAATTGAACCGTTATCTACATAACGACGGAGCCACTGTGGGGGTAAACCATGGATGCAACAGGCAGAAATTTTGTGGCATGATTTCGTGTTGTTTGAGGCCAAAGACCCTGCAAAATTCGAGGTGGGTAATATTCTGTATTTTCTATAGAGGAAAATGTTGGTAGCTCAGGCATCGTAGATGGTGGTCGTTGGCTTGTTCGCTGAGCTGGGCAATTTGATTGCAAACGTTTCATCACCAATCGAGGTGACATCATCAGTGCGTTATAGGGGAGCGTAGTAGTGCTACGCATACAGAACTCTACAGAAGAGAATGTTGGTAGGTCAGATAGCACTAAGACTTTTGAAGCACTTGCAAGGCAGCTTATGGTCTTCTGTGAACGTGGCCACTGATAAGGCAAACCAGTTCCTCTTAGCCTGTCGAATAAGAGAGTTACGTTGGTTCCGAAGACTTCTGTAGTCACCCATGAGACCTTGCATGATGTTTCTATATGGTAGCATCAAGTAACCCCGATTAACAAACCACTTCTTAGTCTTCCAATCAAGCGTTTTGAGTTGGTGGACAAAGTTTATAGAGTGATTTGAGGGTAATATGTAGAGATGCTGGTACCTCGAGTGAGTTTGTTGGTTACTGACCGGGTGATTTTTTATCTGTTCGCCCCGAGTCTGTCAAGTGACTCGTAAAAGTTTCGTCCCCATACGAGGAAACATCATCACTGAGAAGTTGGGTGGGTACTATCTCTTAGCCTGCGTGCGTTTATGCAGCCTTTGAAGAACAAACCAGACAAGGACTTCACAGAAGAATCAAGAAAGTCTTATCCAAACGGATACATCCATTTGGTTAGAGGAGACTCCCAGCCAATAAACTAAAGTGTCAAAGCAACCCCCGGACGCGGAGACACCAACCAGTATAGTGCAAAAACAAGGCAGTGCAAACAGCCAATCAATCTCGAGAAGATAAGTTGGTGACGCCATGCGAAATGAGAAGGTATTAATCAAAGCAAAGGAAGAAAATACTAAAAACAGAAAGCTATGGGATGACCGATCGACTCAACAAAGAACACGAACGGAACAATAAAATAGGGAAAACACTTTATCAACCGGGCAATCATGCTAAGGTTATATACGCAGGCTAAGAGTAAGTACCCACCTAACTACATAATAAAGATGTCTCGTCCTATGGTGGCGAAACATTTGCAAATTCGTTGACAGACTCGGCGAACAGATCAACAATCACCTGGTCAACCACAGCAATCGGTTTGAGGAGCTGAGTCTACAAAAATCATGATTTGGTTTGTGAAAGTTTGGCATTTTTTCCTATGGTATTTGTTCCATGAAAGTCCAGTCAGCGGCTCGCACCAGACCCAACGCACCGTTTTATCCGTTATAAGTCCCAACTTGCAACTGTTGTACACACCTTGAAAGTGAGCTGCAAGTGGAATGCAGGATGAGCGCGCAGAGAACAATGTAGTAGTAGTCTGAATATTGTTTTACTGGTCAAGTTACTAAACTTCCAGTGAAGGACTTATCTTTACCTTGTCTCCGGCTTGTGTTTCCCTCTCAAGGATACCTGTGTGCCTCCCAGATTAAGCGATTGTTAGCTTTAATTATCGTAAAATGTTCATCGCTATCTGTTAGTTTCAAGGAGGACGTCCTGTATGTTAGTGGTGCAAGAATCCTCATCAATTAAAATGCGCGAGTAGAAAATAAAAGTGATTAAAAACTACACAAAAGTTAGGAAAAACTGCCCCAGTAAACAAGATCAAGAACAGGGAGTGGTGGTGAGTACAAACAAAACATTTGGTTATATGAATTAGCGCATCAAAATACCATGTTGGGAGGGATGGGTGGTGGCATTCTCAATGTCCGGAGGTCAGCCTCTGTAAATAATCGAACATCCAGTCAGTCGAACGGATGTCTTGTGCACGCCACGGATAAAAAATGGCATGTCCCTATTAGTCAGAATGCCAGCTAAGTAGGAGCGAACATCTATAGATCAGCACTTCCCGCCCTCTCGCGAAGATTCTAGTGGACTCTTGTGGAACATTCCGTGATAACTCTGTAAATAGGGTTGTAATAAAATTCGCTCGTTTCCAAGAAAGGTTGTCTCAAACTAACTTCTGTTTGTTATAACACAGTGGGCGAAACAAGAAGATGGGTACCGACACATTAGGTGCATCTAGAGAACACAACGCTGGCGAACAGGATCGGTTACATACCTTATCCAGTACAATTTAAAGCCAGTTAGGCGAAGAGATATGTGGACCCAGTTGTAAAGGAGCAGCGGTTACAAGACACTCCGTTTTGCTACGGTTAATTTCACTTCGAGTTGGTCTTTGGTTGTCTGTTTAGCTCAAAGGTTTCGTTAGAAGACATCATTATTATTGACAGCATGGCATCGGTGTTCAACACTGACTCTTTGCTGCCGTACATCAAGTCCAGTGTGATAGCAAGAACAGCTTGTTGTCCTGTTTGTTTCAGAATGCGGACATTGAAAACGGCCAAATAGACTGGGTGTCGAGGCTTGAAGATTGATTTCGAGATACCTGACGATGTCGACGCCATGTGATGAGCAGGTGCCGCACTCAAAACCGATGCAAGACGAAAGGATTCATAAGTCCTAATTGCTGGGTCTACAAGGGGAAAGTTGATAATGGGGTGGGGAGAGAGGGAAGAAAAAGCATGTGAAAGAGGAAGAAGGAAAGCGTCAGCAGTGGCTTGTTTTTGCTCACCCGCCCTGCTGTATGCATCGAGTAGGGCAATCCGGCTGACGGCACCACGCGACGGCCGGTGTGGCATGAATTTATTTGTATGTGTGCAGTTCATGTTTGTAGGTGGACTGGGATGCTGTCAGGGTGCTCATACCTAGAGAGGAGGACGATTAGGGTCCTCAAGCAAAGCCTTTGGCTCAAAAGCCTAACCGCAAGCCAGCGGTGTTTAGCGAGAAATGTATCACGGTTTCTAAAAAACAAGTCGTCACATGTTCCAACTACAACCTAGAGGACCAGAAGACTGTGTTTGTGAAACCTCCGATCATTGACCTTCCTAGTACGAGAGGCTCTGTAAGTGTCCCGGGGACACCCCCCCAACAGTATAGCTTAATGTGTCGCTGAGGTGCGCAAACCGACACACCACGGTAAGGTCCAGTCTCTTCATCAAGGTTCGTTAGCAGGGATTTGGAAAAGGAAAACGTTTCCTTTCATAGTCAGGAACTAGTCATGCGTCCCAACAACCTTAACAAGATAAGCCATATTTGTTGCTGTAGGGTTCCGATTGGTAACCGAATGCCGACTGACGCAACATTTAACGGGGCATACTGCATGCAGCTAACCCGTGATATGCATCGACAAACGAGTACTTGAGGACGGAATATGGATAAGTTATAAGGTCAACAAAGGTCGACTTCATGGGATCCAGCGCCCGCGAACATAAGATCGAAATCTAGCTGGAATGCATTACGTACAGAGCTTCAAAAAGCTTATGTTGAAGAGTGTAAAATGTGATTTCCAAACAATTTGGACTTAAGACGAAAGATTGTTCTCGAGTTTTTAAAGTGAATTTCTAGCGTACCATGAAAGATAATACAGGTTATTTTTACCATTCATTATTGTCTTTTGCTAACGACAGAATAATTTGTTTATGAAGAGTCAGATAAGGCTGCTTTAAAACACGTGTTAAGACGAGCAGGAAAACATAAGCAACGTTTTCTGACGTTATTCAAGCCACTGGGTTTGTTTGTAGACGACAGCCGAAACTTTAAAATCGGAGTCATCATGAACGGATTACACTCCATTTATATTGGAGGACAAGCTCAGAAAGACTACTGAAGTTTGTTCAAATATCAAAATGTCCACTTCTAGGAGAGGCGAGGAAGTCCCTGCTTTGTGATGGCCTTTTGTCAAGGGGAATAGTTTGTGCGTACGTTTTGCTTCCAGTAATGTCCCACTGAAAGCTACATTAGATTGCTTTGAAAAAGCAGTTTTCCTAAAGTGATATGTTACAGACAAGCCCAGTCTACCGGAAGAAAATACAAGGAAAAAATTTGACGGGCAGCTTTCGTGAGCAAGAGATTTAGAGCATAGACAACTTTCAGTAAGTTCCATAATACTCTGTAACCAGATGATGTGCGAGACAGTGGACTAAGCCTCGAAATAAACATGAATTAGCTAGACCATTCCATTAAAAATTGTCTCATAAAAATCATGACTAATCAGGCGGCAGTATTCGTCAAAAATTGTCATTATGTTTAGTGTTCCTCAAAATGTGGCGTCTGGTTTGAAAAAAGCCAAAAATCGGCACCTTTCGTTGCATTTTGCTCAATAACTAACGCTTTTCGCTGTCGTTCCCCACAATGACGTTATCCAGTTCTAATCCTGGTGAAAAAACTGCAAGATGCTTTCGCCAAAATGCAGTTTGTTGGCTATGTGAATTTTAATACAACTACGTTGCTCAAAGCCTGTGTTGCCCCTGGACATGATTAGCACGGTTTGTTCTGTCCCGAGGGAGTGCCGGATGAGCCAAGTATTTGGTTGCAGTTTTCATTAATGAAGTTTACAGTCATGCAATTTCGGAAGGAACTTCAATGCTGTGTTATATTCGAGCCATGGCGCAGTAAAACACGTAATTTCGACGACTAGCCTTTCACCGGATTTTTTGTCGATCGAGAAAATTGATTTAATTCCTGTGGTTCAGATGAATCCAGTCCTTCTAATTGGTGGAAAGTCATGCGAATGAAAGATATTTTGTGCTGATGAGTTTAATTAGACCGACGGCCAATCTGTCTTCTACCATAAGACAACATTACATTACTTCGTTCTAATTAAGCCATTGTTCCTAATGGACCTAAGATGTTCTGGAATATGTTTGATAAATTTTGCGTTTAACTGGATCTTTACTCAAATACGATAACAAAAGAAAAATTCTTCCCGTAGTTGGGCCACTTTCATTGCCTAACCTCTGACCTCGTACAGAACAATTCGCCTATTAATCCTTTCTGTGACAAAAGTAAAAGATATTAAGTCTCCAGATGTAAAAAAAACGAAAAACGAACCACTTCAGACAATTAAAGTCTATTTACTAGCTGCTGTGCAGTCACCTTCCTGACGCGACTGTCAGGGTTGGCTGACATTCCAGATTGCATTGCAGAATGGGAGGTCAATTTTTTTGCACGGAAGTTGTCCGAATATCCTACGTTAACTTGTAAGTGCACATAAAATCACAAAATTTTAAACATTTTCCATCAAACCAGTGTGACCTTTGGAGGCCAGCTTGTGGGGAATAAAAAACAGTTTTGATAGAGACTACCGAGGTAATAGTGCAAGTACACCTGGGCAAAAAAGGTCTTTAATCCACTTCCTCTACACCCATAGAAGGAAGGGAGTAGATGCTTGTGTCTGCAGTCAAAAATGAATTTACCTTTTCGATTACTTTGTAGATCAGCCGTCTTCACCTGGTAAACTCAGCCAACCAGCTAAAGCCTCCGCTTCCCAGTCGTTATTTACTGTGGAAAATATCCCTGGCAGTACAACACAACTGGTCAAGTTGGGCCTCGTGCGAACACACACCAACTGCGACCTGGTCTACCGCCTAGAGCGCGTTGAACCAGATGGATCCTCAGTATCAGTAGCTCTTGCTGAAGACAACATCCTGATGACTGGTCTAAAGTCCTCAAGTGAATACGCCTACCATCTAAAGATAATTGATGACAGGAATTCCCGAAAATATCTGGTTGTGTCAAAACTGGTTACACTGGAAGGTAAGATGGAATTTTCGGACGTAAAATGAAAACAATTTTTTTCACTCCACTGTAAACAATCTCCTTGGCACGAGGTCTAAATGGAACTAAATGTAGAGAAGAAATTGGTGGTTGAATCTAGGACTCGTCAAGCACCTAAAAACCGTCAACCCTGTTGGAATTCGTCAATGGACGCAAAGAAATCCAGTAAATGCGCTACTGTTTACTAGCTTCAGACTGTTCTCTCCAAACCATGCACACATCGATCGGTTAGCACAGCTAGGAATTTGAACTGCTGTAAATTTCTTGAGGGCACATCACCCATAGAGTTATTGAAAACTTTCCGACAGTTCATGAGCAGTTCCGCTCTTCTTGGAGTTCATCGTGTAGGAGAGTTCTACGAATTTATATTATTCTTATGTTGTGGTGTTTTGTCTAAACAGCTGTTGACTTTCTCGGACAATATGACTATTAATGAATTGTCCCGCTGTCCACAGACTCCACTCAACGGTGATTACAATCTCTTCGAGAAGATTGTAGACTATGTAATTAGAACAGTCCGATCATCCACAGCTTGTAAGGATGTCCAAATGCTCAGGGGATGGCTTGATGGAGCACAGGACCTAAACTGATATTCAGACACTGTCTGAATCTGATCGGGTTACCTGAGAGCCCTACAATACGCTGTAATCTAGTCTAAGAACGCACGCTGAAAGAACAAGTCGTCTGTACTAATCAACGCAGTGCGTGGTCTCATACCCCCATATTTACCTTTCACAGAAGGGCTAATCTATAGGATGGGCATAGTGATTGACGTAAGCACCTTGTTTATTTCTGTCCACCTCACTCTCCTTCGAACATCCCATTCTGGTAGCGTTTCTTCGGTTATTCCACAAGAGAGGGTACTAAGGGTACTGCCCTCTTGATAGAGCGCATCGGCAGAGCATGTTTCTGGCGGTGTCGGGATCTGAACAACAGACCTCTACCACGCAAGGGAGACGTGTTATCAGAACTCTGTTGGCGTGCTCTAAACAAATCTGTATTATCACGACTGAGCCGACAAACATGCTCTTACTTTGAGTGGTAGTCTTGATCAGTGTAATAAATAATGTCATGGTAATTAACCGGGTCTTGTCAACCGACTGACCCTGTTGTCAAGACCACCCGGTGAAATGACGCGGTTCGGACTGACCAGAATACTTGTACGCCAAGGCAGAAAAAGGGCTGCACAAACTAGTGTGACATGGGAACAAATTCTATAAAGCTCCCCACAACATATAGGTGAACAATATTTTGAGGTAACTTTATCTCGCAGTGTGGTGTTATTGACTTTGGAGACATTAGGATGAGGAGTGGTTTTTCTCGCCTCATTTTGGTCTGAAAGCAGAGCAAAATTTGTCTTCTGCGGAGGTCCAACACGCATATGCCTTTCGAGGATCTAGCAGACGTCGTCTCATATAAGGGGTGCTATTTAAAGAATCGTCAGTTCTGAGGGAGAAAACTGTAATAAAGTTTCATTTAAGGTCGCCGGGGTTTCTTGGATCGCAGATTAATATCTTGTTACACATAGCCTTGCTTCATCCTCTTTAATTACCTCATACGTGACTACTGTTAATTGTTCATTTGAATGAGAGACTGCCTTCTACGCCGTAAGTTACAGTCATGGCCTATCCGTTAAATCTTAATCTCCAGAGAACGCCACCATACAAAGTTCTGTAAAAATTTATGTGTCGGTCATTTACTGTATTAGCTGATTGTTAAAGCTTAGCGCTTCTGGGTGTATAAAGTATTCATATCCCTAAAGATTATTTTGATGGTCAACGACCAAAGTATCCGCCCTGCGCTAAGTTTGTTCTTTTGAAATATATTCTGCCCTGCACGAAGCATTAAATATACAAAATCACGTTTAGGAAAGGAGAAGAACAATGGTAGGTGACTGATCTCTGTGCAAAATAGCTCATCTACCGACATCTACAAAAACTATTGTATGACAGACATCCAGCACTCGTGTAAAATCAGCCACTTTACTAAATCCATCACAACCAAGCTGACTAACACTGGCTGCGAATATACATATATATATATATATGCATATATATTTATTTACTATGCTATACATGCACCATGTCTTCTATAGGGGAAAATGTTGGTAGCTCAGATAGCATAGATGGTCGTTGGCTTGTTCGCTGAGCTGTGCTACAAACACTAACCCATCGCTACGCACCACTACGCTCCTCACTAACGCACTGATGATGTCACCTCGATTGGTGATGAAACGTTTGCAATCAAATTGCCCAGCTCAGCGAACAAGCTAACTACCACATACATTATGTATACAGAAGGAAGTAAAACGTCACCGGAGTCTTACGAGTAGTCTACGGGCGCTGACCCCGTACACACATAGTGCAGTTAGATAGTACCTTTTTACACACCACTAGTTATTTCTAATATCATTCGTCAGTTATCAGAATCCAAAACAACTGAAAAAATTGGTCCCAGTTACTTGGAGCATGTAAATAATATGCGTGTGTTATATTATGTTGTGGAAGTCAGCTGACTTTTTTATACATATATTTGCCCTCTTTCAACACATTGTGACCAACCGATCTCACTTAAAAAGTGAATATGTTCAGACTTAGCCAAGCAAGTGTACATATACGCACGTGACCAAATACGAAGTGCCAACACGATCAGAACAAGTCGAGTAGAGAAGTAACTATTTCATGAAACAATAAATATTTCTTCAGCCTTGGTTATTAAGATCCACAATACCCGTATGCTACAAATTTTTACCAAATTTACTGGAAACTATCCACCTACACTCACCATCGATTCCTCGACCATGATATGTTCAAGAAATAGCCTTCCGTAACTGCCCGGTCATTCCCCATGACATTCGGTTCCGGACTATGGGCCTGCTAAATTACTAACAAAATACTGTGGTAGGCGGTGAATTATATAGAAAACCCAAACCTCCATATGTTCTGTAAACAGTGACCAAAGGAAAGGCTTGAATTTAATGAGCTTTCTACTCCTTGTTGCCAGAAGATACTTGGTTGCTGCTAGAATTGCAAATCAGACCATTGGAACCTCGATTGAGTCATGGGAAGATACTGCGTGCCCAGTAAAGCTTTAATTAGTTTTTCCGTAATCAAGTTTCACATACTTTAAGCCTGTTGGATGGTGTTTCGATGTGTGTACATCTAATCAAAACAGCTGGTATGTATTCAATTGGAGTTTCGCGATCTCAACCATAGAGGGTGAGACGGCATGAAGAAATAAACAATGGCCGTGAATGCGTTATGCTCACTGTCATCCGGGCAATTAGGTAACATTAATTATTACTGCGATAAACTGTTTTCCGTTGCATCAAGTAACATACAACTTTCATCGTATTCATGAGCCTCCACAACCACATTTTTTATCGTTTAGCCGCAACTCAGCTTACAAACATCGTAGCGACCACAATTTCCGAAAACAATGTTACCGTAACTTGGGACCCTTGCCCTGTGGGTAATACTGTAAAGTTGGTGTTACTCTCGGAATCCGAAGAAGAAATTCCAGTGTCGACTGGAACACCTTCACACGTTTGGGATTCTCTCCAACTTTGCAAAGAATACTTTGTAGAGATTCGATTGCTCAATGGAAAGGAAGTTCAAAGGAGTTCGAACATTCGGAGAGTGAAGGTAAACCCAATAGGTAAGGACACTCATTACATACGTAGATTTGACTTAGGCGCAATAAGTACACTTACTCCAGAATAAAGGTGTAACGACCCAAAAAATATTACTTTGCGCTCCCCCAAAACCAGTCAAATCTAACGTAATACTTCAGGAGTAGGTGTTTTACATCACAAGATCCGGCAAACCGGGCTTCCCACAATGGACCAAAGGTAAATTTTCATTCACCAGGTGAGGCGACCTGTGTTAAACAAACATACAGCTGTTGTAAACTTGTTAGAAACCCTCAGTAGTGCGCATCTTACGAAAAGCTCGAGGGATTCCAATCTGTTACATCACTTACCTTACCTTACATTACCTTACACAAATCTATCTGGCAACAGGTGGTTGATCAGCAATGTGATTAACTCGTACTTACTTCACTCATCCTTCAACCGTGCGACTAGCTTTCTAGTGATGGTCAGTCACCTGGCTCTTAGAACAATGACTTTTCGGGCAGAAAAGTCATGCGATTAGATTAATGATAGTGAGTCTACTCGAAATCATTTCAATACACTGTTTCCGCGCCGTTTACAGCTAATTGCGAGTTGCTCTTCTACATCTTTTACTTATGCGATTGATGAAGTAACTTAGTAAATAAAACACTAAGAGGAGCCCGGGCATGTCCGAAAACCCTTCGACTTTTTGGAACCAGCATTATAAGCTTTTGGGCATAGTTCACGTAGAAGATAATAATTCCAACGAGCCAATAACTGCAATTTGGACACAATCTCAATAGGTTGAGTGAAACACAGGACATTTGCATAAAGCCGAACCAATGGCGGATCTATTCCCACAACCTGTGGTTTATAAAAGGAACCTTTCCATCACATCCCGGAATGCTCCGAAATGTAACAAATGGGCCTTAAAGTACACTGTTCTATTAGGTTTATCATCAAAAAATTCAACTCTTGGATGTATTTTTTATGAACTACATAAGAACCACTTCTTCTCGGTAACCTGTTTCTACTTCTATTTGTGTTCGAAACCCTTATTGTAATATGGAAAGTGAGCACAACGTTCTACTGAATTTTAAACAGAAATTGCTTAACCCCTATATTCTACCAGGAGTTTTTTAAACAATCCAAAAGCCTGTCGCACCATTCAGTTGAGTCTTTTGTGGAAACCAGATTGATTTGCAAATGAGTGTATTTCTCGGAAGTAGTCCAATTTGGGTTCAAGTAGAACACGAGGTTGACGGAAACTCGGGGACTGCGCCTACCTGATGAGCCCCAAGAAGGATACAACCGATCGTGGGCTGTCGAAGAGTTTTCAGCAATCTTGTGAATAGCTTCCTATAT